TGATCTGATCTGATTTTGCAGAACATTAGTTTTATTATATGACTAAATATTTCAGTTTTACCTAGCATCATTACTATTTATTAAATTAAAAAAAATGATATAATAATTAGTAAATGCTATTAATTAATTAATAAATATTAAATTAAATTATATTTTAAAATTATAGTAATAAAAATAAACTAAATATTTTAATATATATAATTTTTATAAATAAAATAAGAAATTGATTTCATTCATTAAAAAATTATTTATTGTTAACTAAAGGATTTGATAATATTCTTTAAAACTATTTTTAAATATCATTAATTTAAAAACAATAATTTTAAAAGAATCTAAAAATTCATTTATTAAAATTTATTAAAGAATTATTACAAATAATTCTGATGGTAAATATATTTTTAAAGATTTCTATATTAAGTTATAATTTAATTTATTTAGAAAAATAATAAAATTTTAAAAGTTAACAGAAAAATTCGTAAATAGTTTAATATATTATAATAGTCTAAAAAAATTAAAATAGTATAGATTAGATAAAAAAGTATAGTATAAAAAGTAAATAATTTTTAAAATTAAATAAATATTTTAATTAAATTATTTTTATTAATCATATTTTAATTAACTAATATTTTTAAATATTATTATTATTTAAATTTTTTTGTAATTATTTAAAGAGCTATACAAATTTTATTTACTGATATAATTCTTTTAGAACTTTACTATATAATTATTTACAATTACATTATATTAAAGAGTATAATATGATTCTAAATTTTATTAATTAAATAATATATGATTATATTAAGATTTAACAAAAAAAATCATTTTTTAGTAAAGAAAAATTAAAACATTTGAATAATTTTAAAGAAAAATTAAAACATTTGAATAATTTTAAAGAAAAATTAAAAATTTAAATAACTTTAAAAAAATAAATGTTTAAAATTCTGAAAAAAATAAGCAATAAAAAAAGTAAAAGATATAGCAATAAAATTTAAATAAAAAATCTTAGTTTACTAATATATAGAATCCAAAAAAAATAATTAAAAAATTAAAATTAAACTTTAAAATAATTTTTTTAAAAAAAAAATAATATATAAAAAACTTCAGAAATATGAAATTTTAAAGTTTATTACAAATAATAATAAATTAAAGTAATTTACATTAAGTTATTAGCGTAGATTTTATTAAAAAATAATAAAAAATTTGAATTTTTATAGATCTTTGTAAATTTTTTACCAATATATAGTATAGATCTTCAAAATCAGAATTATGAATTAGTTTAAATTTTTTGATATAAAGATTTTTTTATAATATAAATTAATTAATAAATAACTTACTTGAATTTTAATTAAAAAATAAAGTTAAAAAATAAAAAAAATTTTAAAATTTATAATACTATTATTTATTTATAATTTATTATTAAATTTTCAATATTTAATAAAAATTTAATATATTTTAAGCATTTATAATTATTTAATATTAATATTATAATATTATATTATATTTTAAATAATAAAAATCAAAAATCATGTAAAAACCAATTTTTTTTGTTAAACTGATTTATATAAAATTGTTTTTAAATTATAATTTAGTTTACTGAAAAATGATTATAATTTAGATTGTAAAAAGTAAGCCAGTTTAAAATCAGTTTATAATTATGTAATTAGCTTGAAGTACTATTTTTTAGTAAATAGATAAATTGAAGAAAGAGAAAATGTAAATTTAGCAATTAAATGAAAACTAAAAAGCTAAAAACTAAATCATTATACTCACATAATCTAGTAATATCAAATCATTATACATAATCTAGAAATATCATATGTCACATCACAAATATAAACTTACATAATTTAGAAATATCATACTATTCACATTTATATACCTAAAAATATCAACATAACTTAGAGATATTATAGTTATAAACTAGATTAAATTGCAATATCACATTACACTCTCTAGGAAATGTAATATAAGTATTATATTTATATATAATTGAAAGAGAGATATTATGAAAAATCTGATAATAATATCACATTAAATAGTTTATTTAAAAGTTACCATAATATAACTACAAATACATCTATAAAAAAATCTGTTAAAAATTATCAATAAAATCACATGATTTGAGTAAAGAATTCATTGCCATAAAAAAGGATGCATAAATTATTTCTTTTTATGATTAAATAATTACTATTCAAAAGGGATGACTTTATTAAAAAGACGTCCGAAATATAGACAATTTTATAATATTATTCAAAGCGAGTTTGCCAAATAGAAAATTGATCCATTTATTGAATAAGCCCACTTAAGCCACCTATGCCACTTATTACCAAGCTACTTAGTTTTCAAAAATAGTTTTTCTTGCCCAATCCTTTTGCGGTTTAACATTTACTAATGAATAAAATATTAGTTTTTACATTATATTTAACAACGCTTATAGCACTTTTATATTTATTTGGACTTATAAAAGTAAGCCTATTAGATAGTATCTCCGAAAATCCTCCAAAAGATTCTAATCACAACGAAATGTCTATTAATTCTAAAGAATTCATTAAAGTTAACGGAACGCAATTTAAGAAAAATGATAAAAGTTATTACATCATCGGAGCAAATTATTGGCAGGCAATGAATTTAGGAGCATCTGAAGGTGGGAACAAGTCAAGAGTACTCAAAGATTTAAAGATATTAAAAGAAAATGGGATTAATTGTGTTAGAATTATGGCGGGCAGTGAAGGACCTGAAGGAGAACCTTATAGAATGTATCCTGCTTTAATGAATTCTCCTGGCGATTATAATGAAAATGTTTTCCAAGGTAAGAGAATTGGCACAAATAAAATATATTTAACTTCATTGCATATAATGTTGTATTCTGAATGTAGGTCTTGATTGGTTTCTTGCTCAATTAAATCAATTCAATATGACCGTAATCATGGTAATTAAATTCATTTAAACGCTGTAAATTATTTTAGTCTATTTAATCATAAAAAAAAAAAAATTTTTTATTTTTAAAAAAAAATTTGCAGACATTATCAAATTATTGGCATTGGTCAGGTGGATTTGCACAATATGTTAACTGGGCCGATCCATCAAAATCAATTCCATATCCACCTGATTATTCATCATTTGAACGTTATGCAGCACGTTTTTATTCAGACTCAACGATTTATTCTACAACACAAGCTTATTACCTCGCACACATAAAGTCAGTAATCACAAGAAAGAATACTATTACGGGTCAATTATATAAAAATGATCCAAATATTTTTGCATGGGAACTAGTTAATGAACCACAAGCTATTAACGTTGGCGACAACAGCCATGATATTGTCTTTAAATGGATTGATGATACCGCTAAATTTATTAAAGATTTGGATGCAAATCATTTGATTTCTACTGGTAGCGAAGGAAAAAATGGTAAAGATTGGTTTATTACTATGCATAAAAGCCCGCATGTTGGTAAGATAGTTTTTATTATTTATTAATGTTCATTATGGAATGAATTTAATAATGTTAATTTAATGATCTTTAGATTTTACCAGTGCTCACGTATGGGTGGAAAATTGGGGTTATTACAATTCAGATGATTCTTCATTAGAGAATTACCAAAAGGCTGAAACATTCATGTTAAATTTCTTACAAAATGTTAGCGATTGGTCTACACAAACATTAAAAAAACCCTTATTAGTAGGAGAATACGGTATTGTAATTCTCAACCTTAGTGATTTTTTTTTTTTGTTATTTTTGGCTGCTTAATATTAAATGAATTTCGCCAAATCTCCTTTTTGTTTAATTAGGCATGGCAAGAGACGCTTGGTCAGGTGTATCAAAATATTCACCTCTTGCAACCACAACTAATAAAGAAAAATATTTTACTTCGTTATCTAATAAAATATTCGAAATGGAAAAACAAAATGCTTGTACTGGACATGTGTTTTGGGCTTTTTCTGGTATCGCAAGACCAAGTGATCCTGCTCCCACTTGGATCGGTGATCCCCCACATGAATGTAAGTTGTTCTCTTTTGAAGAAAATTATTTGAAGGATTTAACTGAATAGATTTTGAATTTTTAGCACCAGGTTGGTATTCTGTATATGATTCCGATAAAAATGTTCTGAATATATTTGCTAAGCATGCTAAACAGGTAGCTGAATTATATTAGGAATTATATTCTTAATTATAAAATTGAATATGTTTTGAATGTAAATAAAAAAACCGCAACTTTTAATTCTCGCATAGCACTGCCCCTTTATTAGTAATGGGTACTTTTCAATCATAGAAAACATTTTTAATATTCCAATTAAATTTTTTGTTATTTATATTTAATTGTCCGAGATCCATAAATTTATTTCTGTCCTAAATTGTTACCTACATTTTATATTCCTGTTAATTAACCGTCCAAATATATCATATAAAAAATCGAAGATTCGATGCTCTCCATATCCTGACGCTTCATGGAAATCAACATGCGCGAGTTGCGAAATTCACAATTTTTATGAAATAAAGTCACGTGGAAACGATAATTGGACCCTACAAACATTATGAATGTTTACGTAAGAAACATTTCCAGGGTTAGATTTTATTGCATAGGATAATAAAAGAGATTTACAATAAAAATAAAATATATACAAAGTAAAAGTAGGAAAAAGATAAAGATACAAAAATATTTTCAATCTGAACATAAATTCGCTCTATCGGTGAGGACATCCTCTATAGCACAAGGAATAACTATTCCTTCGAGAAGGCCCGTCACGACACCGAATTTCTTGCCTGGTTGACAGGAGAGCATTTCAACCAACTCTCGGACGACACATAAGGACCTGTGAATTTAGAAATTTATTAACAAATTTGTTAAATTTCATTAAAATATACCTATTTTATTTACTTCTCAAGTTTTTGCATTGAATAACAAATGGGATACGGTCGACCTCCTATATAGTCACACCCCTCGGGATCAAAAAAATTTGGTGAGATTATAAAAAAGTTATATGATGTGATTATAAAAGATGATTTTTAATAAGTTTATTATTAACGTTAATATTAACTTTATTTTATAGAAACTGATATTTTTTTGGAAAAATGTTTTAATAAATGAAAATGATTTTGAATTTAATCCAAGTGAAAATGAAAATATATTATCTTGGATAATGATAATTTAAGTTCTATTGCTACTATTGGTACTAGTCATGATGCTAAAATTTTACCATTTATTTGGGATGAAATGGCTTTAATAATGCTCAAGATTTATTGGAAATAAATGAATGAAATTAATTGGGAAGATGTTGATTTTGAAGAAAATTTTGAAACAGAATCAGTTATTACAAAATTTACAGAAGATATTAATTATCAAATTGAAAATATTTCTGGATCATTTATTTTAACATCTTGTATTATTGTCCGGAGCGAAGCGTAGGACAATATACTTTTAGGAATTAGAGTGAAAAATTGCACTGTTACGTGAGAATTTCATCTGTCCTGTTGCGTTACATAAGATCAGATCAAAACAATCAACAAAAAACCAAGTAGGGTAACTTGTGTAGCTTGTGGCACCTGAACAAGATCAGTACAAGAGAAGAAAAAACAATACATTTATACATTTTTTTTTACTCGTTACATTTTGTTGAATTTTATTTTTTTTACCATTATCTGTTAAATTTTTTATTGAATCTTTTT